AAAACATTTTTAAGCAAAATTAACATTACAAAGAAACACGTGTACTTAACTGGTGATTATAATTTAAACTTGTTAAATCATGCTTCAAATCTAAATGTTCAATGCTTTTTAGATACACTTATACAATACGATATCATTCCCACTATAAATAAGTCGACGAGAATAACTAAGACTTCGTCGACCTTACTAGATAACATATTTACTAATAATTTTCATAATTGCCCTTTAGAATCGGGTATAATTAAAACTGACATAACAGATCATTACCCAATATTCTTAACTACAGATAATATAACCCTTAATCATTCTGTCTTTAAATCAACAATATCAATGCGACAAATCAATAAAAACTCCATAATATATTTTCGAAATCTTTTATCTGAAAAAACTAATTGGGATCTTATATTACAATCGCAAGATGGGAATAATGCGTTTGAATTATTTTTGGCGCAGTTTTGTAAATACTATGATTTGGCATTTCCAGTTATAAAAAAAATTATAAATCCTAAATCACTTTTAAACCCTTGGATGACCAAAGGTTTACTCAAATCATCAAAGAGGAAACAAAACCTTTATGAAAAATATTTAAAACATAAAACATATAAAAATGAAATAAAATATAAAAATTATAAAAACTTGTTTGAAAAAATAAAGAAACAATCTAAAAAAAATTATTATGCAAAATTGCTAGAAAAAACACATGGAAACACACAAAAGACGTGGAATGTAATTAAGCAGATAATCGGTACAAATAAATGTCAAAATAATAAATTGCCAGAAAAACTTTTAGTTGACAGGGATATAATTTATAATAAAGAAGTCATAATTAACAAGCTCAACAAATTTTTTCTTCATATTGGACCAAAATTAGCTGATAAAATTCCAAAAACCAACTCAAACAACTTCGAATCTTATATAAATACACCCAACACATCTATGATAGAATCTAATTTAAACTTAAGTGAGATGCGCAATGCTTTCAACTGTCTAAAAAATAATAAATGTGCGGGCATTGATAAAATTAGCGTAAATGTAGTTAAAGCTGTGTTTGATATTATTGAACCATCACTGTTTCACATTTTTAATCTTTCTTTAAAATCCGGTATTGTACCGGAGAAATTAAAAATTGCTAAGATTATACCTATTTTTAAAAATGGCGATGATACAAATATGTCCAATTATAGACCTATTTCTGTCTTACCATGTTTCTCTAAATTGTTAGAACGAATTATGTATGATAGACTTAACAACTATTTAACTGAGAACAATATTCTGTATAATAAACAATTTGGGTTTAAAAAAAATCATTCAACGGACCATGCAGTAGTCGATCTAATAAATTATGTATCCAATGGGTTCAATAATGATTGCTATACATTAGGAGTTTTTATTGATTTGTCAAAAGCATTTGTCAAAAGCCCTTGTTATTCATACTGTTCATTAATGATTTGTATTTAGCATCCAAAATTCTAAACGTTATTTTGTTTGCTGATGACTCAAATCTTTTTTACTCTAACAGAAATATTAAAGATCTGTTTAGAATTTTTAATGAAGAGTTATTAAAAATAAATGAATGGATTACGAATAATAAACTTTCATTAAATGTTGGGAAAACTAAATTTATGTTGTTCCACAAACCTAGTAAAGGTGATAACCTTTTTTTAAAACTACCTGATCTCTTTATGAACAAAAAAGTTATTAAAAGAGAGTCAACTATTAACTTTCTAGGAGTGATATTAGATGAAAATATATCATGGAAATATCATATTAGATCTATTGAAAATAAAATCTCCAAAAATATTTCAATGCTATATAAAGTTAAACCTTTTCTTAATACGGAATTTTTAAAAATTATATATTTCTCATTTATTCATAGTTATCTTTCCTATTGTAATCTTGCATGGGCAAGTACCAATTATGGGAAGCTCAAAAAAATTTATAGCAAACAAAAACATGCTTGTAGGATTATTTTTGGCGTTAACAGAACTGTTAATGGTGAATCTCTTTTAAAGAAACTTAATGTGCTTAATATTTACAAACTTAATATATACCAAGTTATGCTATTTACGTTTAAAACAAAACATGCGTTATCTCCTAATATATTTCAGTCTTACTTTACCGAAATATCTCATAAATATCCCACTAAATTTTCATCTGATAATTTTGTTATTCCAAGATCTTATTTAAAACTCAATTCATTTCAAATTCAATACCGGGGACCATTTATATGGAAAGGTTTTTTAAAAAATATAATTAAAAATAAAATTCTTCGAGGCATCTCCTTAGAACAATTCAAAAGAGAATCTAAACGTTTTCTATTAGAAAAAACTTTCGATTTTAAAGATTTCTTCTAAAATCACCTAAAATAATTAAACCTGAAAAAGTCATCACTACTCATTTACTATTATCTTGTGTATCTTGTTTATTTCTTATTAAAATAAAAAATATATATACTATTAATTTTGAACAGACAAATAACATTTATTCGATTTATTACTTGTGTCTTATATTTGTCGAACTAGTATTGTATTGTACTTCAATTTTTAACCTTTTAGTTTTTAACTTGTAACTTTGTGACGTTAATGTAAACGGGGCTTGGCGATAAGACAGTTTATGTCTTCTTCTTGCTCCGGCCAATTTTTATACATGAATAGTTTTTCTCATTGTAAATTTAATTATACGGCAAAGAAAATATAATAATATAATAATAATCTTTTTGAATGTAATTTTTGCAATCTGCTAACAGTTGAGGAAAAAAAAAACTTTGTTAACCAGAATGCATTGCAACACGTGTGCCCTCATCTCTGGTATAAAGAATTTTATATTGGCAGGGTTTTTGTGCTAATAATATGATAAATAAAAGAAATAGCTAAGACACCACAATCTGCCCCATTTGACTGCTGTTGAACCGGTAATACACAAATAGTTAACTTGTTATGTGTGCATTTCATGATGGCACACATCTGTTGCTTTGTATGATGCGCAACTTTACCATGAAATAGACTGTCCATCAATGATAATGATAATTCATGCCAAAGTTCCTTTGATTTTATTTTCCTATTTCTGACAGTATCCGTTTTAAGCTGAATATTACAGGCTAACACATAATTTATGAACAAATTTTATATAAATATATATTTATATATATATATATATATATATATATATATATATATATATATATATATATATATATATATATATATATATATATATATATATATATATATATATATATATATATATATACACTTACTAAAGCGTATTTTTATAAGCATTTGCTTACTTTTTTTGCTTATTTTAACTAATACAGCTTTTTAAGGAAAATAAGGAAAAAGACGAAGAACAATGAATGAAACAATTGCTGCCCCATCCCAAACCCTCAGTTGATATAGCAGCACTCCACTGATGTAGCAGTACTCCACAAATGATTTTGAAATCTTGTATGCGAGTGTATTTTCTTTTGTAGTTATGATCAATGTTCTATTTTATCAATAATTATTTAGCAACATATAACAAATATTGTTCCAAATACAAAAACACTTCAGCTTTTATACACACACATATATATATATATATATATATATATATATATATATATATATATATATATATATATATATATATATATATATATGTATATATATATATATATATATATATATATATATATATATATATATATATATATATATATATATATATATATATACAACAGGGACGGACGCAGGTTTTTAATTTACCCCGTCAAAAAAATGCGCCTTACTCCATGTTGTAAGTGACGCAACTACGCCCACAAAGCAAATAGAAAAATTGGAGGAGGGGGGGGGGGGGGGGAGAAGGAATAAGTAAGGGCGGATCCGGACTATGTAGTAAAGAGGGGTGGGCAATTTTTCTTTTCGTTTGATCAAAACGATTAAAGGGGGCGATTTACAGGTTTAACGATTTTTAAGCAGGCAAGCCCCCAAAAAAAAGAATTTAGACTACACAATTTTATGCCACTTTTAAACAGCCTACCAAATTTACTTATGTTTTTACAAAATGTTCTTATAAAAAAACATCTAAGGGAGGCCATCCCCCTATGTAGCCTGCCCCCTATGTATCCCCTAAATCCTCCTGCCCATGGGCTAGAGGATTTAAAGGGATTTTCTATTTGCTATTTCATTGAGAAGCTCATATCTTAGTTTTACTTTGAAACTTTGTTCATATATAAATATATAATAAATATATAAACCAACAAATGATTGTTTCGCCCAATATCAGGGCTCATCAGCATGTCTAGGAACATATTTATTTCGGACATGGACAATAAGAGAAAGAAAAATTAAGAACTGAAAAGAGAAAGACAAAAATACAAATGGATTTATATACATCGTGATATAACAAGTTATATATATTCTTAAATAACAAGATTAAAAAAAAAAAGACATACCAAGTTAAGCTTTAACAACAAGAAAGGAGATCATTTTTGATGAAGTAAAAAGAAAGCTAATGGTTTTACAACTACAGCAAAAAACTGATTTAAATGGCACAAAAACTTATGAATATTATTAGGTTGATTGAGAGAAAATTTAATGAAAATAATTTTTTTAATTTTTTATTTTGTCGCTAGAAAATGATATAAAAAGATTGTCAAAAAGAGATGGTTAATGTTTGCCTGAACTATGATCACTAATCATATAGCTAATCCCAAACAAAAGTATGGGGTTACATTTAACCCGTCCTGTTGAGGACACCATTGAAGTCTTGGCCTTTCCAGGGGTTTCCATGCCTATTTGTTAGCTGTTATATGAAGAGAGGTGATAATAGACAAAAATTTCAAAAGTTGTTGGCGTGTTATAGAATAAACAGTATAGACACTAATCATTGAAATCAAGTCGTCTATTTTTTATAGAAAATCTATTGGTAACATTATCAATACAAGGAACAATTTCTTGATGGATATACATTAATGCCAAACAGTTAAGTCGATCTTCTGACATTGTTGTTCTCATATAGTCTTACCGACGCATAACAGAAAAACTCCTCTCACACTCACATGAAGTAACAGGAAGTGTCCCAAATATCCTTAAAGCTATCTTAACATTTTCAAATCCAGGAAATGATATCGATTTAAGAGTTAAAGATATATTGTCAGGAATAGTCCCAGAGAAACTTTCCCAGTATTTTTCCCAAAGAACTAGTTCCCCATTCAAGGCACTGATATTAGGGAAATCATCTATATAAAAATCACAGAATGTTTCAAACTGCTTCCTCCAACACAATTGGGTTTTGGGTCTTTTAAGAAAAGAAATAATATTAAATGGAATAATTGATAACCCTTTATATGCAGTTACAGTTTCTGATTTAAATCTTGTAGATATAGATGTAGATACATGATCTATAAGAGGGATAGTAACAGCTCTTTTGAAGTAATCTGAAACAGACTCTGATAGAACATTAGAACGACTTTTTTGAATAGATTAGGTTCTTGGTTTTAAAAAAAAAATTTCAGCTTTACTTGAAAGCAAACATGCTGCTTTATAGCAGTTATTATGAAAACTATCTATATCGTTTCTGATGGAAATAAATGTATTTTTAAGAGCTGTAATAAGGTGCAAACCGTCTAAGATATCAATAGTTTTTGATTGCAGTAACCGAGTAACAGGTAAAGTAAAATCAAAGACACGTGTTGTCACAACTAAAGTAAAGACGAATTGAAAAGTGCCAATGGAATTTAATTAAGTAGAAGATTTGTTTTGTGTGTCTTTGTAAACAGAACTCTTAGGGGAAGCCATGATACATAAAGCATGGAAAATAGATAAATAATGCTCAAGAAAAGTGTTTAAACCATCTATACGCTCAATCCATCTAGTTCTACAGATATCTTTTAATTTTTTTTTATGCGTTTGAGGTTCTTGCTCTAAAATGCTAGCTTCTAAAAACTTTTGTCTATTTTCTGAATAATTAAAAAATAAGAAAGTTAGCGAACTTTATTAAAAACCTCTGAAACTAATTGGACATTACACGATTCACAAAATGATAAGTTCAGTCGATGGCTATGACAATGTGTATACAAAGCCTTTGAATTTATATTGAGAACCTGAGCAGAAAGACCATTTATATACCCAGAGACAGAACTGGCTCCATCATATCCCTGACCCCTACAGTTTTTTATATCTAGATTTAAGTTGCTTACACAATTTAAAAGAACATTAAACAAATCTTTTCCTTTAACTCCTTCACTACAATAAATAAATTGAATAAAGTCTTCTCTGATATTGAAATCACTATCAACAAATCGTAAAACTAATGACATTAGCTCTTTCTTGATTTTTTTCTTTCTTGATAAAAGGTTATGAAAATATTTAATTGAAGATTTATTAATCTTGTTGTTACTTTTTTTTTTTTGTGTGGAAATCACTTACATTATTACATTTTTGTGCAAACAATGAATATGGGAATATGATCAGAAATATTTTTAATTATTTCTGTTTTATCTTTATATTGATGAAGTCATTAGTAATAATATGATCTATTAAAGTTTCACTTTTTTTAGTTACGCGCGTAGGTTAATTGATGGTAGGAACATAACTATTTTCAAAAATGACATTAAAAAATTGCCTAATGTTTTTATCATAATCCAAAATATTGAGGTTCAAGTCACAAACCAGATAAACTGTTTATTTTTTTAAAATCAAGTCAGTCTTTAAACACTTTAATTCAACCTGAAAGTTGTCTGTAAAAAGCATGGACAATAATGTTTTTTAATTTTATTAGCAAGTTCAACGCACAAAGACTCATAATCAATAGTGGTTTTACTTAACCCATGTCATAATCATAATCAATAGTGGTTATACTTACCCATCCAGCGTTCCCAAATGGGAACATATAAATAATTTGATATTTTGCTCATTCTGTTAATTTTATTTACTTGATATAAAGACCAGCGTTCCCAAATGGAAACATTTATTTATATCTTTCAAAGACATTATCAACACTATTGTTTTGCGAAAATTTTTTTTCTGTGTTCACATTCGAGGATTCTAACAGAAAGTTTAAAAAATTTACAAAAAAAATTGGTTCCAAACGGGTTAAATCTGACTTAACTACACAAGCACCCAACTACCTTGCTCTTGGTCCTAATTTGACGAATCATTTCATAGTTTTTCTCGATATTTTTGTCATCACACCATGTCAAACTGAAACAAATAATTTGAAAATTAATACTAATTTTATATAAAAAATTGTTTTAATGAATTTAAATTTTTTGAATGCTTTTAATATTAGCACGAAAAATCTGGAACGAGTTGTTCTTCATTCCTATAATAATATTATTTGGATTTACATTATAATATAATAGCTAAATATTTTTTTTTAAATTTTTATCATTATAAAAATTAATATCAGGATCAGAAATAATTTTTAAGCGCTGATTTGCTTATTCCTAAATTCTTTAACAATAAATTCGTCATAAATGATAATTGAATATTTACCATTATTTTTGTTTTTTAATTTCTATATTCATAACAATTAATATAATGAATATTTCTTCAATTTATTAATATTTTCTAAGATTTTCATACGTTCATATATTATTTAAAAACCTTTTAAATTTCCATTTATAACAGTTTGTATTTTTGTTTTAAATTATTTGCTTTTTTAAATAAGTCAACTCTATAATTTTTTAATTTAGGTTGCCAGATATAAGTTTAAAAATGGCGTTTTTTTTAAACATTTCTTAAACGATGTTACGAACCATATTTATTGAGATACCTGATTCGTCTGTTTTGATACAAGCGCCGTTTTTTTTCTTGATATCACTATTATTATTTTTCTTATCCATTGTAATTAATATAATTGTAATATTTACTGATTTATAATAGAATATATTTTTTACAAATTTTTTTTTTTTTACTGATATACTATAAATCAGTTTTAAGTCACGTGGAATAAGATCTCACTTGATAAAATTGATGAATTTATCGAGCCTTTATCAGGTACTTTATCATCGGCATCATATCATCATCATATTCTTCCGATTGAATTTCATTGTCATCAGCATATATAGTACTTTTATCATTCTGTTTAATTTTATTTTCTTGACCTTTTTCCTCACCTTAGGGACAAAAAATAAGTATTTCATTTTAGGACAATACTAATTGTTTTTTAATAGAAAAAAAAAACAATCAGTATTGTCCTAAAAGTTCAAATAATTTCAGTTATTGTTCTTCAATTACTTTATGTAAAAGTTCAAACAATTTCAGTTATTATTCAATCATATAAAGAAAAAAATAATAATCCAATAAAACTAGTAAAAAAGTAACTTTATATAAATAAACTAATAAAAAAATAACTTCATATAAAGTAAAAAATAAAAGTTCAAATAATTCCAGTTATTGCTCTTTAATTACGTCATATAAAAAAAAACGTAAAAATTTAAATAATTTCAGTTCCAGTAAACTCCCAGTTATTCGAGCCTCAAAGGGGAACAAGAATTTACTTCAAATAACCAAAAGTTCAAATAACTAAAAAATCTTCTTTAAAGTGACCTTTTTCATGTTACAATCAAATTTTAACAGAAGTAGAAAGTGAAAAAGAAGAAAAACTTTAGAATAAGTTTATGTCTTTAATATCTATAAAAATAAATTAAATGTTAAAAAAGTTATAATAAAAATTAAATTTTTATGAAAAAATTGTCCATTTTTGATTGCTTTTTTGCTTCAAAAGAATATTTATCAAACATCTTTGATACTAGGCTTGGCAATTGTCGGACAAGACGAACATTCAATTAACTCTATTAACGTGAAATATCTAATAATTTTGGCTTTTTGGGAGGCAAATTGTTTGATTCTTCATCTATCTCTTTATCTACCTAAGCACAATTTTTGATTAAAATGAAATCCAGAATTTCTCGATCTGTGAGAGCGATTGCTTCGCTTGTACAAATATCAAGATCTTTATTTATCTTCAACATTAATTTATGTATCTTCTATGTAATCTTCAACAGCAAAAACTTTGTCTTCTAAATCACGTGATCAAAACTTATTGACGCTTTTTTCAAACAACTCGAAAGGATCATCTTCACCATTTCTACTAGCAACCTGTATTTTATACGAGATGTCTGCTTTTCTAAAACATTTCATTACAGTGTTTGTCGATACAGCATTATATGACTTGACCAACATGCTCATAGCTTCAAGAGTTTTGATATTTGTGGTCGTTTTACCAGCATCGATGTATTTGATCTGACGCCTCACAACATTCGTTTAATAAAAAACCTTTAATGGCCTTATGACTCTCTGGTCCATTTATGGAGGTTGTGTTTGGTGGTAAAAATAATTGCTTTGAGATGTTTTAGGTCAACAATTAGGATGATCTGGGCAGTTATCTATGATTAAACTATAAGGGAATAGTTTTTTTTATGATAGTTGGCCTGAAAAAAATATACCCTATTTCTGCGTTACGCAAACAAACGTAAAATGTAGTAAGTCCATCCAACGCAACGTATGGTTGAACCAATCAACAAAAATTCAAAGCAGTTGTGTCAACTAACACAAAATTCATTATTTTTGCTTTTATTTGTAGATATATATTCACCAAAGGTAACCCGTTATTAGAATTGATAACATTCAGTTTAAACTTTGAGTTAGTCGTACAAAAATCCATTACTATAGTATTAAATGAAATATTTTATTGCCCTGGCTATTCTACATTTGTCGATGCGAATGTTTTTGGCACAAACAACATTAATCCAGACCTAATTCAATGGCTATTCACAAATGATAATATTACCTGGTACGATGTTATTACTAAGCCTGAGAGCTTTTTTGTGTCCGCTACAGGCTTGACAATAAAATTATCAAAAATAACAAAAGTAACATCCCTTAAAGTGAAAGCCACAGTTTCATCTGGTGATATTGAATCTATCCAAAACATAAAGTTTCTTAGTAAGTTCACTCATTTACATTTAACAACAAAACTGTTTTATGTTTTTATTGACGTACAAATATTGTTTTTTTCCGCTTAGATACGCTATATTTATATCAAGATATTAACACTGTTGAAGGAACCATCGGAAAAGATATTACATTAAAAGTGAAACATAGACCTAACTCAGTTATACGATGGCTATTTGGATACCGATTACTTAAAAAGAACGATATATTCATTCTCAAAACTCACAATTGACAGTCAATTCTCAATGACATTATTAAAAATTGTTAATTTGGATAAAAGCGTTGAAGGAATTTACTCGGCTGAAGCTACTGAAAATAAATGTTCGTCATCCGTTAGTTTTTACCTGACTGTAACAAGTTAAATGTTGCAAGTTTATGATAATTTTACTAATTATATATATATATATATATATATATATATATATATATATATATATATATATATATATATATATATATATATATATATATATATATATATATATATATATATATATATATATATATATATATATATATATATATATATATATATATATATATATATATCATTATATATATCGTTTAGTGGTTGTGTGATTCGATATTTTAATCATTGCAACCTTTTGCAAAAGTTTTGTTTAGACTTTTACTCTTACGTAAAATATATTGAAACGTAAAATATATTGAAACATTATCTTGAACAATATTTAAAACTTAAAACTATTATACTTATATTTTAATTGTTAAATGTGAGATACTGTCAATAATTACATAATGTGAGACATCTGTCGAATATTGCGGTTTTTGGCGTAAAGAACTGTTGTGTTTATATAAATATATTTTTGTTTAAAAACTTTATTAACAGTTAAATGGATAACAGATTTTATTATGCAGAATGAAAAAACTAAATAAATCTATTTTAACTAAAGATGGTTGAATTTTGGAAACATTTATATTTTGATTAATACAAACAGACAACCCTAAAAAACTTATAACCATGTTTTGACGTTTTGTCAACGCCTCATTTTATTTAAATCATAACAAATTGTTTCCTAAATCACTTTGATTGCTTAATCGAAACTGATTCTTTTTATACCCAGTTTTAAGTACCCAATAAAATTAAAAAATAAAGATAATTAAAAATTATTTTTAACTTTACAGGGACAATTTAAACATATAAAAACTTTAAATAGAGTTAAAGTTGCCCGGGTAAAACAAAACTCTACAATTAACAAACTGTTCAAATGCTTTAACTATTATGACGATCTTTTTTTTTTATTAATCAAAAACTACTCTAATTTTTTTAGAGGTTTTTTATTGTAATTATTTTTATATTGCGCTTGAACTATTTCAAGGACCATTTGATTTCATCACTAAG